CCGTTGCCAGCAGCGACGTCCCGACCGGGATGCACGTTTTGGCGGCAGGAGGTAGCACCTCGTTTCGCGACGACGACGACGACTCGTTCGGCGGCATGACCGTAGACAACTCGGACTGTCCCTACGAAAGCTACGGTTGGGACTCGATTTACGTGCTCGGCGTGTTCGCGACGCTGGTCATCGTGTTCGGCATCTGTGCCAACCTGCTCAACACCCGCATCTTCCTGCATCGCATGATGAGGGCGTCGTTGATCAACTGGTACCTGGCCGTGCTGTCGATCAGCGACCTGCTGATGCAGGTAGCCAGCTTCTTCATGTTCTGTCTACCTCGACTCGGCGAACTGTTCGGGGATTTTCGGGTGATTAACTTCAGCTACGTCATAGCTTCCAGTGCCTACGCGGTCGGCATGATGGCACAGACGACCAGCGTCTGGTTGACGGTCGCCATGTCCCTGCACCGGTTCGTCGGCGTCTGCCTGCCGTTCAAGGCCGGTCGACTGTGTTCGGCGAGGAACACGCGTCTGGTGTTGATCATCGTCGTGCTGTTCGGCGTGGTGTTCAACTTCAGCCGCTTCTTCGAGGTGGTCGTGGTAGGCAGTTGTTTCGCCGAGAACGTCAACTTCACGATCGTGTTGCTGAACCGCACCGAGCTGCGCGAGGACCCCGTCTACAAGACGATCCTGCTCGGCTGGTGCTACACGCTGGTCATGTTCATCCTGCCCTTCTCGCTGCTCATCTTCCTCAACACCAATGTGATCAGGGCGATCCGCAGCACCAGGCGCCTGCACGACGAGATTGGCCAGGACGCAAGACAAGGAGCCCGTCGTCGCGAACTCGCCAAGGAGATCAGCACCTCGGTGATGCTGGTAGGCGTGGTGGTGGTCTTTCTGCTGTGCAACACGCTCGCCCTCATCTTGAACATCCTCGAAGTGACTGAGGCATATCGCTTCTTCGGTCACCTGTTCGACGTACTCGTCTACATCAGCAACGTGTTGGTGGTGCTGAACAGTTGTGTGAACATTTTTATTTACTGTACGTTCAGCGAGAAGTTCCGTCTGTTGCTCAGACACTACACCACTTCTATTTGGTCGAATCGCGGCGAGCTGTTGTACGAAAGGACTTCGATCGCGTGATGACGGCGACAGCGCGTAATTCGTTTGATTTCGACCGATCGACCAATCATTCGCCTTCGTCCTCAACCCGACAATACAGTGCCATATCTGCGGCCGCTCACGCGCCCGCTCGACTTCTTTACACTACCGTAACCTGGCGCGGTGCCTCTTTACCCGTGGAACACAGCCACGTGCACAGCAGCGGATCTCGACCTCTTTTTACGGGACGGACGACAACGTGACCCCGGTGTCGTCAAGCGACAAATCACTTTGCAAGTGGCGACATGCCTTGCTTTGTTCATTCATTCATTACCTACCTTATTTGTCTCGTGCTAATCCGACTTCGACCTCATCTGATCGGACAGCGCCGTTCCTCGTGTCTAACACAAGCAGAGGTCGATCGATCGACGAACCTCAGTGATTCTCGCCGGCGTTGGCAAATATGTTTTTTCTTTTCTTCATTTAAAGTCAAATTCCTCATTCGTTGTTTTGTCTTATATGCAAACTGCCTTAAACAATCACTGTATCTTTCCGCTATCGATAACAAATAGCTTTTCGTCTCTTCGTCGGAGGAAGACACGACGATGATGCCGGAACTTCATCTTCATCACTATGACGGAGACTAAGAATGCAACGATGGCGCAGATCTATTTCTGTTCGTTCAGCGCTGCCTGTCGTGCCGACCGATTGTCTGTTCCATGTTGTTTACTCTCTCGTCGGGTGCTAATTGATCGATCCTCGCAGTACTCATGGCCACTCCGCCGAACCCCCAACTTTCGTGGGCACATTTTTTTATTTTTGACGACACGTGCAAAGGGAAGCTTAAACATGATCCGAAACTGAAGCATACTGTGAGACTCGATCTTTGGCAATACTAGTCGCTAAAGATCGCATACCGATTTTGAAACTACTCATAGACGTACGTGTAGACGCGCAAAGAAGCATCTTGTGTTGGTTCTTTTCATGTAAAATTAATATCAGTAAAAAACGTTCTGATGCCATCGCTGAAGGTGTCAGAATAACTTAGACGATGCACTCCGAGAGCAACGTTGCATACTGCCTTTATCTATTTTCATTACATCATTAAAGCTATGAAGTACCCCCCGCGATGGACAAGATGATGGAAGGCTATTCATCAATTTGACTGATTAGGTTACATGTTTACATCACTATTCACTGGGCAACAAACTGACACGAGTTCTAAGCATCCTAAATATACAATCAGGACAGACTCCAAAGCTTTCAAAGAATGAAGTCTTCGAATTGAGTGAGAAAGTTATATGAACGACGGTAGCCTCTTCCTTCTAAGTTCATTATAAAAAAAATTTCCCCAATCCGCATACTAAGGTATTAAGTATGTAAATAATACTGAATAGTTCTTTGATTAAACAAATTCGACTTAACATAAGCACCGTAGCTCATCCTGTCTAGCAGGTAAAATGGAATCCACCTAAGCACGTCACAGCTTGATCCTAATTTGGTTGCAAATTTACAGAGTAGCACAATTCTTGGTAACTCAGCTGGAATTCGAGCCGAAAGGTCTGCGGTTCGCCACCGGTTACTTTACTCGCCTTTCATACTCCTGACGTTGTTAAATGAGTACCACTCTGTAAGAAAGAAACAGAATACTACACACAGTGTGTACACATAGCTGCTGTCTACTGTGCGGTTATAATAAAGCACTGCTGACTGATGAATCTATATCAATGACCCAACTTTAACTTCATGAAAAGAAGGGCCTCAGAAACTGTACCGCCATAGATATTGAAGCAAGACGAACCGACATTCCAACGGTTACAAGCTTCGATTAAGTATGTCAAAGTCTCATTTTATGAGACAATAGGGAAGAGAATTTCCAAATGGCATTCTGATATGCGAGCCAGAATTTTTCTAAAGAAAAAATTTACGTATCCAAAAAAACTCATTTTGACTGATACCTTTAATTTGTGACCTAAACGGTCAACACTCTGAAAACATCAGACGTTGCTTTGAAATAACTGGCATCACTAGCAGCATGCCTCTCGGTTTTTAATTGTATTTACATGTCAACTATGGATCGAGAAGAAGGAAGTGCAAGTCCAATCTAACACAGGACCAATACACCAAGTTTTGGCAGATTACATGCAGATAACATTTATTATGATTTTCTGAATACCTGCCTCACAGATTGAGCTTCAAGAACACTTCGCACGTACGTTTAATTGCCCTGTTTTTCATTAGACACTTGCTATTGAGTCTATTGTTTGCCCGCGATCAACTTCTAAACGTTTCAATTAGGTAAATACCTCATACGTCATCTTCAGAGCGGTCGGTACTAGAAACAGCCAACGTTTTCGCCATTTTTGTTTTTTTCTGCTCATGAGCCATCAAATCCTCTTTGTCATGCTTCAATCTGCTGCCCATCAGGATGTTTTGTAACTTCAGCTGATCGTGTTTCCGTGAATGGCGGAAATGGAGATCATTCTCATGGTCACGTTTTTTCACCATGATCATCGTAATGAATTTATTTATGAAATTTATCAATCCACTACTAATGAATGCATCGCCCAGACTTCACTATAGACTAATGTTTTCTGTCATAGGCATCTATCATGATCCAAAGAATATCTTCAGCTTTTCTTGACATCGATCTGGAAGACTTTCTACGTGCCATTTCTCTCTCTCTCTCTCTCTCTTGAAAGCCAGTTTAATGTCTCTTGGATCCAGCGGCTGGACAGGCTGTTCTTGCAATGAGTCCTGTCCTTTGCCACTTTGACTTATTTACTCAGGCAATGACATCGCTGATGTCTGTTTGTATTCTTACCAAACATTCATTCGTCTTCATATCGTTTCTTGTCATTCCCAACGTACGGAATAAAGCTGCATTGCATAGCCTGCAGTTTATAAATAACCTTCAAGCATAGAGTTCACATTTAGAATGTATAGGTTAGCGCTTACGGTATACGCTGATCGACAACTTTCCATGTCAACCATGAAGACAGCATTTCCTGACAGAAATATTTTCAGTCTTCCAAAATTGTTTTATACTACTGCTGCTGATTGCACGCAGTCGGTTCTCCGTTGCAGAGATGAGCTATAAACGTGTGGTATTCATGTTTTTTGCTCATGTTCACTGCCAGTACTTGAAAACATCTATATTTAGTGAGTAGCACTGAACTAAACTACTAGGTTTCTGTAATCTATTCGAATCGATATAACCCGTGTATGCAACAAATCCACATAAATAATTTGTTTTGCTTGCGGTATCTGCTTTTCCTTATCTACTAAACACAAAAAGTAGATTACATACTAAAATCCTTGCTAGCTGTTCTGTTCTTTTAATTGTCATTACTCAAATGTAGTTTTCGTCCCTTGTGGTCTGGTGTTGGCAGTGAACCGGCTCCTACCAAATCATATTACTGAATGGTACTTGACGGAAGAACAAACACGCACTGTCACATGGCAAATCGGAGGATCATTACGTAGTTAACTAGATATGCACCATTAGACAGGTGCCTCTCGTACCTTCCCAGAGTTGGGGTTTACTATTATCATTCGTTTTCGTCAGATGCAGTTGGTATTCGTCCATCAGTCGGTAAAGCTACTCGTCTCGAACGACATCTGCTCCAGTTTACAACATTCAGCGAGAACACCAAGAATTAAAATGAAGAGAGTCCGTGAGGTTAGGCGGAGTCTGAAATGGCAGAAAAAATTTACCCCCGTGATGAACACATAGTTTTCCCGGATTTTTTGTTGTGATTACCAACAAATGAATACATTATCCTATCTTACAGTAGTATTCATGTAAATATTGAATATTATTGCGGTTGGTCCCTGACCATGGTTCGACAGTCCGCTAAATGTCTGAATGATTTTGTGCCCGGATAATGTACTCCCTTGAAACTTTCGATTATAGTCTTTTTCTTTCTCCAAGTGGTGACTGTCAGGTGGTTGGCATAAGTTGCTGCCGTAATGAGAAGAATTTTTTCATCTTCCAGTCTCCTGTTGGAAGTCAAGATCAGAGGACCGGAGTGGAATACTCAAATTGCAGGCCCCCTTATTAATAATTCCAAAAGAAATCATGGATAAATCCTTTCGGCATGCCATCAGTCGTTTGAACAGAGCCTGGTCCAAAAACAACTTCCGAAACGATTCTAGATGGACGAGGTAAAGACACGTGCAGCAAAGGCTATTACTCACAAATCATTTAGATGATTACAGCGGAGGATTTACGGTTCACATAGAGCATTTGCTGAACTATCATCCATCTGGACAGAAAATCATATTTTTCATAGAACAACACTTGCATATTTCAGACGTACGTAGTAGTGTCACTTTGACCAGGAGGCTTCAAGCTGGTTACTAGCTTGTTTAATTAGTTTCTGTTTTTCGTAGATCCTAACTGAAATGATCAGCTGCTGGAAAATATGAACAATCTATGATCAACTGACGTCATTATTAATTTCTTCAGCTTTGAAACACTTCAGGTTTCTCTGAGATGCGGTAAACTATAGTATAGCGATTTCAGGACATAACCGTGGAAAAGTACTAGTGCACATGAGAAGTACAAGACCGGGGTTGATCAGTCATTAGAGCGTCGAACCCAGAACCGGCAGGTGCCGAGTTCAAACCTCGGTTGGGGTCACTGGTCCTTCTACTTTTTGAAGTTGATGACTATCACTCCGTAAGAAGGAAACAGGAGACTACTCGCTGCACTTACCACATGGTCGTAGACTCTCTTTTTAGAAAAATAAGGCACTCCTGGACGATGGCACAGAATCAGAAATCAACACCGCATCATCAACTTCATGAAAAGAAGGGCGCCAGAATGGTCCAATCGTGAAAGTGAAGTTAGATGGACAATCAAAGGGTGACAAACTAGGACATATCCTCAGATAGCCTTTCGCATCACTTCTCAATGGTTAATAGACAAACATTCATCAAGACCAACTGATCACTCGAGAGATGAACCACG